CCCCGGCGCCCTGCCCTCGCCCTGCCCTTCGCGGGCCCCGAATCCCTGGCCCACTTCTCCTTCAGTGACGAGGACACCTGTTGGCACTCTCCGGGCAGATCCGTCAGGTGGGTGGCCCGAGGCCAGTCCCTCCTTTCCCACCAGAGGGCTCTGGATGCGTTGGTGGGGGTGCCCAGGCTGCCTGCGGGAGTCTCCAAAGTGGTTTGCAGAGTCTGCCGGAGCTCCCGCCCCTTTCCCTGTTTCTAAACGTCTGGGTGCCTCTGAGGGCCTCCTGCAGGTGGTGGCTCTGAAAATAGGTGCTGGGTCCTGCCCCCTTTCTGCCCACTCCAGATGGGATCCCTTCACCCTCTTTGTGCCCCTAAACCTGGACTTTTGGCACTCACCCTGGCAGCCAGTCTGCGTGTCCAGCGTCACCTGGGCTCCACTCCCAGGCACGGGCCTCCAGCCAGGTCCCTCAGGCCTTACCCTTCCTCCCTCCTTGCTGGGGCTGCCAGGCTGAAAGCCAGGCGGGTGGGTGTGGGAGGAGCTGGAACTCCTGGAGGGCAATGAGAAGCTACTGGACAGGGGCAGAGGAGCAGCTTGTAAATTCTCAGAATTCTTGGGGTACTCCAGCAATGTTCTTGCTCCCCTCCAGCACCCCCTTCAGATACCTGGACACGCGCATGCTCCCCAACAAGGCACATACACTCCACATACACGGCCATACGTGACATAAACAGCACACCCACATGCAGGGCAGTCGGGGTTGACCCATGGCCACGGTGACACACAGACCACAGAAACCCTGGCCTTTTAAACCTTGTATAGACGACACTGCTTGCAGGAACACACTCTCACTGCAACACATACCCAGGCCTGCCTCCCACCTGCACACCGAATACCCCTCAGGAGTCAGGCACTGTCTCAGCACATGTGCACCGCACACAGGTACACCCTCTCAAACCCACAGGACTCGGAGACACCCAGACCCACACAAGCGCTGTGAACACCCAGACCCCACTCACACACACAGATGTGTAAGTCCACACGGACAACTTACATGCACGCGGATGCCCCTGAGCACCCCCTCTGACTCACACATGCACAGACCCTCCTCCTACACTTAACCCCACTAACAACTGTGTCACTGGCACCACGCGCCTGCCTGGCAGATACACACCAGCACCCGCCCTTAACCTCCATGTGACCTTCACAAAGCAAATGCCAGGTCCTTCCATAAAGGCTGCCTGGCACCTCCGACAAGGGTGTCAGTTGGCGTGGGGCAGAGCCTGGGGAGCTGCCAGGCTGCCTGTGGGGGGGAGAGAGACACCCAGTGACTTAGCATGCTTTGTAGCTTTGAGCCCGGCTCCCCGGGTTTGCATCCTTGCTCTGTCACTAGTCACGTTATTCATCCTCTCTGTGTCTCAGTGTCTCTCTCTCTCTCCGGAAAATGGGGATGAGTTCGTGTCCAGGCAAAGCACAGTGCTGGAGCATGTGGCATTCCAGAGCAGCTGGCTACTGTCATTGTTGTTATGGTTTTTACCAACTGGGACATGTCCCCTCTCATTGCCACAGCCCTACCCTCACCCCAGCTTGTTGGCTTCCCATTGGCTCCTGCAGCAGGACTTTCTGATCTGCTCCTGGACTGCACAGTCCTCCAGAGGCCCAATTTGATGTTCAGAAGCCCAGGGGGACAGGACTAGAGGCCCCAGAGGGGTGGAAGCAGGTAGCACTTCACCTGAGAATGCCACCAAGCGGTCAGCCTATCCCAGGGGGAGTCTTGGGCAGGTCATTTCCATTCTGATGGAGTGTCCGGGCACGTGGCTGTGATGTCAGGGCCTGTTGGCTGTCCTTGACAACACTAGTCTGTGGCTTTGGGCCCCATTGGGACATCTCCAGTGCAGCCTCTAGCCTGATTTTAGGTCACCCCGATCAGTAGTAGGCCAGGGAGGGGTGACTCCCCACAGCCTGGGGGTCTAATTCTGGGGAGTAGCTGAGACCCTCTTATTCGAAGGCTGCAATTCAACAGGCCTAATCTATATGCCCTCCTGCAGCCCCGGGGACATGACTCCTGGAAGCACAAACAGTGGGGCCCCATTTTCCCATCCCTGCCCCTGGGCTCCTGCTTGCAGTGAGTTGAGTCCCCTGGGGCTGCAGTATCTACCCAAGATGCTAGTTGGTTGCCCTCTGGGGCTTGGGTCTCACCTTCCCTAAACAGCACGTCAGTTCCTGGGGCAGGGGAGGGGTGCTCTCTCCATAGGTATGCTCCGCCCCCCTTCACAGTGGCACTCAGCGGAGTCAAAAAATCCAGGCTGGGCCTTGGGAGACAGGACATGATTCTCAGGTAATGAGGCTACCAATCCCTCGCCACCCCTCTGTGCCTGTCTTTTCATTGAACCAGGAGGTAAACAGAATCCAAATCACGGAGTTGGTAGGAGACATACTGGGTTCATGTATATAAAGCACTCAATGCCACAGCAAGTACTCAGTTTCTTGTTATTATTACTATACACCTAAAAGGATTTAACCTGGGACCCAGTACACAGCAGGTGCTCAATAAGTGGACATTATCATCAGAGGATCAAGCTCATGATTAGGTATTCCATCTTAAGAATGTGGTTTTTTTTAAATATATTTTATTGATTCTCTACAGAGAGGAAGGGAGAGAGACAGAGAGTCAGAAACATCGATGAGAGAGAGACATCGATCAGCTGCCTCCTGCACATCTCCCACTGGGGATGTGCCCACAACCCAGGCATATGCCCCTGACTGGAATCGAACCTGGGACCCTTCAGTCCGCAGGCCGACACTCCATCCACTAAGCCAAACCGGTTTTGGCAAGAAGAATGTGTTTTTTTAAAAAGATGAACACATATTAAATTTTTTAAAAATATATTTTATTGATTTTTTACTGAGAGGTAGGGAGAGGGACAGAGAGCTAGAAACATCAATGAGAGAGAAACATCGATCAGCTGCTCCCTGCATGCCCCCGACTGGGGATGTGCCCACAACCAAGGCACATGCTCTTGACCAGAATCGAAGCCGGGACTCTTCAGTCTGCAAGCCGACGCTCTATCCCCTGAGCCTGCCTCCTGCACGTCTCCTACTGGGGATGTGCCCGCAACCAAGGCACATGCCCTTGACCAGAATTGAACCTGGGACCCTTCAGTCCGCAAGCCGACGCTCTATCCACTGAGCCAAACCGGTTTCGGCGAACACATATTAAATTAACCCTTTTCATATACATCTTCATGAAGTTCTTTTGCAAATTGTTTTTTATTTATTTACTAGAGGCCCAGTGCGCGAATCTGTGCACGGGTGGGGTCCCTCGGCCTGGCCTGTGATTGAGGCCTATGGGGGAGGGGCCAGCAGGTGAGGGCTGGGTAGCTGGGGAGAGACCATGGGGTTTGGCTGTGGGAGCACACTGACCACCAGGGGACAGCTCCTGCATTGAGCACCTGCCCCCTGTTGGTCAGTGAGCATAATAGCACTGTTCTACCGTCATTCGTTTGGCGGTAACGGTTGCTTAGGCTTTTATATAGAGAGATTTATATTAACATTTTTTAATGTTGACATTATCCCGGGTGTCTCCCTTTTTCCCCTCTTTGCCCACCTCCACCAAACTATTGTCCATGTCCATGGGCTATGTATATACGTTCTTTAGCTAATCCCTTACCTTCTTTATCCAGTCACCCCGCACTCCTTCCCTCGGGCGCCAGCCAGTCTGTTCCATGTATCCATGCTTCTGGTTCCATTTTGTTTGTCAGTTATTTTTGTTCATTAGATTCCACATATTAGTGAGATCATATGGTATTTGTCTTTCTCTGGCGGGTTTATTTGCTTAGCAAAATACTCTCCAGGCCCATCCATGCTGTCACAAAGGGTAAGAGATCCTTCTTTTTTATAGCCGCATAGTATTCCATTGTGTAAATGTTCCACAGCTTTTTTTATCCACTTATCTGCTGATGGGCACCTGGGCTGTTTCCAGGTCTTGGCCATTGTAAATAATGCTGCTATAAACATAGGGGTGCACATATTCTTTCAGATTGGTGTTTTGGGATTGAAATGTTTTAAATTGTGATAAAATATAAATAACAAAATTTCACATTTTAACCATTTAAAAATATATGTTTTTTATTGATTTTTAATAGAGGAAGGGAAAGCGATAGAGAGATCAAAACATTGATGAGAGAGGAACATCATCGATCAGCTACCTCCTGCACAACCTCTACTGGGGATTGGGCCCACAATCCAGGTGGGGGATTGATCCAGTGACTTCGATTCCTGGGTCAACGCTCAACCACTGAGCCACACCGTCTGGGCCCATTTTAACCATTTTTGAGTGTACAATTCAGTATCATTAAGTACATTCACATTGTTATGCAGCCATCACCACCATCCATCCCCAGAACTTTTTCATCCCAAACTGAAACTCTGTCCCCACTAAACACTAACTCCCCTTTTCCCTCCTCCAGGCCCTAGCACTCACTATTCTAACTGCTGTCGCTATAAATCTGACTCCTTCAGGGACCTCATATGAGTAGAATTTCACAATTACACAACAAATTGCATCATTTGCTGAAAAGACTGTCCTTTCCCATTGACTTGTCTTGGCACACTTGTCAAAAATCATTTGACCATATATGTGACGGGTTTATTTCTGGGCTGTCTAAGCAATTCTATTGGTCTATTTGTCTTTTTGTATTTGGCTTATTTCATTTAGCATAATGTTTTCAAGATTCATCCATCATACATATACACACACACATACACACACACACATACTCTCACACACACACACACACTGAGTGGCCAGATTGTTATGACCACCTGACGTTTGTAGGCAAATTAGCTATAATTTCGCGCTGAAGTTGCTAGAGGGCCAGACCATTATAAACAGGGAAGCAGGTTGTTTACCACGACAGTAGAAATGATTTTTTTCTGAAGATATGGGAAAACAACGCAATTTAACAGCCACACATACTGAGTGGCCAGATTATTATGACCACCCCATCAGTACTTCGTTGGGCCACCTTTTGCCTTCAATACTGCGGCGATTCTTCTTGTCATTGACTCCACGAGATGCTGAAAGGTGATGCGAGGAATCTGACACCGTGCCTGATGAATAGCACTGTCCAGTTCTGTGAGATCTGGTGGTTGTGGAACCAGCTGCCTGATGGCTCTTTTAACTTCATCCCACAAATGCTCAATCAGATTGAGGCCACCTAAGCAAGGTAAAGTCTCCCTCATGTTCTTGAACCCATTCCTGCACAATACGAGCACC